TTATACGCAAATAAGCAAGAATACTGAAAACTTCGATTTCGAAGCATCGTTTAAGTACATTTCTTTGGAAGTTTGAAAGAATTGCTGTGTGGTAGGAGAATGCCCGAAAATTTCTTCATAAAACTACGCGACATGCGGAAGGTTTTAAGACTAGGCCGAACTTCTGTTTGAACAACCACAGTGACTTGGTGACCAATGTCCAGAGCATACTTGAATTATGGAGGGAGCGCTTTTCCACATCGTTGAATTGTAACAGCTCTGATATCGGTGTAAAAGATGAAATCGAGCCCCTAGTCGACAAGTCAGTGACCCACCATTCGCCTATGACTAAATACGAACAAGAAATTGGCGGTTGAAAAACAAAAATTCGCTAGATCTGACGGTCTGCCCTCTGAGTAATTCACGGGCGGCGGTGAGGATCAACTCTTATGCAGAATTTGATCGAATGAATGCTGGCCCGACGACTGGAATTTAAGTGCGATGTGCACACAAGAAAGATAACCCCGCCATATGCGTCAACTACCGCCGATCAGTTCTTTTGGGATTTGTGGAAGACTGAAGCCCACTATAAACGAACTGATTGACCCTGTCCGAGTCGTTCAAAACCAATCGAGATTTCAGAGAAGGCGACTCCTTATCGTTCGGCTTCTTTTATCTGATATTGGGTAACATAACAAAAGCTGCAGAACAGAACAGCTAGATACCTACGTTTGCTGACATATCACATCATCGGCCTCAGAAACTCTTATTTTTTTCTGCATTTGGTGGCCCTTGGAGTATTCAACAGAATTGCGGAATTGATTTAACTTATTAAATAAATAGAATACAACTTTTTATCAAGTGGCAACTGCTTGCAAAAAACTTAAACCTTATTGCACATCTGTTGACCAGTGACTTTAATTTGAATTTAAAAAGTGAGTAGTTTCACAATTCAACTTCATTAATTTTAAGAGTATATGTATAGTTAAGTTTCTAGACTTAAAAATGATCATACTTACTAGTTTCTACTGTGCATTAGATTTACATACATATGTATGTATGTGCAATTGGGATGTTAATTTTTCGGCTTTTTCCGATCCCGGGATTTTCGGGATAGCGTTGTCACAATCCCGGGATCCAGCGATTAGTCCCGGGATTTAGATATTCATTACTTTTCAACAACTTGAATCGAAAAATTGCTTCTATGTTGTTTGAGAAGCTCTCCTACTATGTAATAAATAATAAATAAATGGGTTTGAAACCTACTTTTTTATTTAAAGTGGCGTTTTTATGTTTTCTCTCTAACTGCAGGATTGTTTTTGAAGGAGTTTGTAATTTCAAAGATATGATTAATTCCAAAAATTATTTAAAAAATTCAATGCAATAAAAATATGGGTAACAAATGCAATAGGAAAGTGTGTTTAGAATTTAAAAAATTTAAATTTTTTGAATTCACAAGGACGAATAGGTAATTTTTAGTTTAGAGTCCTTAACATATAATTTTTTCAAAAACAAATATTGCGAAATTTCAAGGATAAAGTGTTAAAATGACATTTGCAAAATTTGCCAGCCCTTCTGCACCAGAAACTTGAATCTGTTTAAATTCTACAGGCTTTCCTCATTAATTTTATACCCATACTTCTTCTCTAAGCACATTTCTCCGAAATTTTAAATCATTTTTGAATTAGTGACATCAGACTGAAAAACTAAAAATGCAATTTTACTATATTTGGCACATGGTTTCGCGAATATATTAATATTTGTGTATAAAATTTACTGTCGCGCGGTGGTATATGTATATTGAGCTACACGTTTTTAAAAAAAATATTAATTAGTAAATAAAAATGAAATATAGCCCATACTGGTCAAGAAAAGGAGTTTCTATTATTGCCATCAGTGCAAATTACAAATACCGAAAATCTCGGGAAATCTACTTGCCATGAATCCCGGGATTTTCGAGACCTTAAAGAGTCCGGGATCCCGGGATTAACATTCCTAATGTGCAACAATCTATATGTCGCTGAGACAAATGATTAGGCGCCACAATAA